GTTTTCCCTCAACTGCCTTTTGTTCTTCTCTTTGTCCCTGCCACCTCCCTACACCAGATCCCACATCTCCAGGTGGCTCTCTCTGAAGACAGACGCTAAGAGTCCATCTATACACACCCCACACACATAAGAGGTGGAAGCAGAGCCCCAGGATCAGAGGAAGCATTGAACAGGGGATGAAGGTGGAAATTCAGATGAAGGCTAATAAAGGGTCAGAATGAAAATGGGGGCGGGGGCTCTACAGAATGAAGCAGAGGCTAGGAAGGAAGGCCAGGAGCAAGCTGTGTGGCTGGTGAGCTGGACAGAACCCTGGCACTCCTGGGATTCCCAACAGACCTTGCTAACCACTTCCAGAATGGCCCTGAGACCCTCTCACTGCCAACTAGCCCTCACTGTGGAGCACTAAGGAACATCAGAGCTATCTGGGCTCAGAGGCTATGGCAGACCATGGGATGCCGTGTTTGCCAGAACAGTGGACACTTGACCTTCATTTGCTGTGAGACTGTCAGGGATTTCAGGGGCTCCAATGGTTCTAGTCTGCTAAGAGAGGTGAGCTTTTTTTTTTTTTTTTTAATGCCCCTCACAACTGTAAGTGGCCAAGAGGCACTCTCAACTGACAGCTGTCTCCACCCGTCTGGGAGATGGCAGCCACAGACAAAGGCACCATGCCACCTGTTGCTGCCTCCAGCACCCAGGATGGTATAACAGTCCTCTCCTCATATCTGGACTTCACATCCAGTAAGGAACGCCGCTGTCCACAGCACAGCTCGCGCACCACCAAACCCAGAGAGCCGTACCATCCGCCAAACCCAGAGAGCCGTCCCACCACTGAAGCACAGTCTCCGGCCCCACCCCGAGCCACATCTGTAGCTGCACACACCCTAGTCCTAAAGTTAAGCCACCCTCTCCCCCTTCCCCCACCCTGCCACAGGTGCTGCTCAGAAGGAGGCTGCCTGGACCTGGGGGTCTGGAGAAATTCTTGACCCATCCTCTCGCTTCTCTGTCTTGTCTGCACCCACTGCCACCTTACACTCTGGCCCGAGGGAGGCATCCCCCACTAGGCTGCCGAAGACTCTACCTCAGACAGTCCTGGGTTCTCCCAAGTCACATCCAATCCTGCAAGCCTTTTTCTCGGCAGCTGAGCTCCTGCTTCTGAGACCTTTGTGATTCCTGTACCAGAAGTGTGGGAGCCCCAGGGCACACCCCTGGTCAGTGTCTCAATCACCACTGTGACCCTGTGTCCGCTTCACATCACTGTATGCTTTTGTACATGGGTGGAGGGGCAGAAGGGAGGGTGGTAACACAGCTCCATTTCTGCCTTGGCATTCAGACGGCATCAGGCCCAAGGGGCTACAGTTGGCCACAGGGACTCCAAGGCCAGGGCATCCTTCATGGGCCCCAACGTAAACAACAGCCTGCCACCCATCAACCTTTCCTTCATTTTCTCACTGGAACTGAAGCTTACTGGCTTCTCCTAATGCTTGAGGAACTCCCTTGGCCACCAACTACTCCTAAATATGTCCTGCAGGCCCCCCTGTTGTGGGTCATCTGACACTTGTCTCCCCTGACTCAGCACCTTGCAGCCCAGCCTCAAGTTGATCACGCTTGAGTCTGATTCTGCCCCAGCCTGGGGACCCTTCTGAGGCCTCAAAGCTTCTCCCTCCTCTCTGCCCTTCCAGGCCAGAGGGGGGAAAAATGTTTGTTGCAGGAATAAATGATGGATATGAATTTGGCTGGTGTGTGCGTGTTTGCTCATGTATTTATTCATTCAAACAAATACTTAAATTGAGCAGTTACACTGTGCGAGGGAACAAGCACAGTAGAGAAGTTCCTCCCTACGAAGCAGGGGGTGGGGGGCATTAAACCAAGCACATACTACATAATCAGACATACACTATATAATCAGGCACAGTGCTCAGCAGGGCAGATGGGGCAAAATGCAGCCCAAGGCCAGGGGAGCTGCTCAGAGCAGAGTGTCTTAGATGGAAAGCAGAGTGAGTCATGGGGAAGTAAACCCAGGAAAGATCCAGAAGCAGAGAGAGGGAGCTATCCCTTGGCAATGGCAACAGAGGTAGACCCCTGCCTGGAAGCTGAGAGGAGGTCTTCCTCATCCTGGGGCTCTAGTTCCCATGGGGAGCAAGTGAGGAGGCCCCAGACACATCTGGGGAGCCACTTACCTTCCAAGCTATAAAGGAAAGAGTGGGGGCCAGGGGCTGTGTTTGTTGTAGCTGATAGGGCCTCTTTCAGAGCTGTCTCCCTGGGGGGGGTTGCGGGGCAGGGTTGAACTTGTCCTTGACCCACTCAGGTACTTTGGAAACAGTCTTCAAGGACAGTCTGCAATAAAACTTCATCAGCCAAATATCTCTCTATTATCTCTCTCCCAAAACAAGATACTGACTGTACCTTGTTTTATCCAAAGACCCACAAATAGTCCTAGTGTTATCCAACCCCTTCTCTGCTGTTAAGCAGAGTTGGTATTAAATCAGACTTTAGATGTTCTAGCAAATGAAATCCACTCTCAAAGCCAGAGATTTGTAGAGATTCCAAAAACTATGGTGGGTTTTTCAGAGAGGTAGAAGAATGAGAGTTTTGAGATCAGGCAGTCCTGAGTTCAAATTCTGCCTCTACCATTGACAAGCTGAGTGACTTTAGAGAAGTTGCCATCTTTCTGTGTGTCTCCATTTCTTTTTCTTATAACAGGCAACTTTATAAAGCTCACTTTATAGGATGAAAAGGAATCCAGAACAGACCTTGGCATATAGGTGACCAACAACTCATAAAGACCAGCTATTAATTCTATCTTACATATGTCCATAAAACCTTGGCTATTCAATGGACATCTATTTGAAGACAGAACTATCTTTACCAACACTCTGAAACATAATAAAAGCCCTCTGTTTACTTTAACTCAACTCTCAGGTGTTCCTCAAAGCCAGCCTCTAGCCCCAGACTGAAACTCCTAGATCCTCCCTTCAACATCGAGGGCATCAGAGAATGTGAGGATCTCTGGGAAAGATCCAGAAGATGCTGGTTCCCTGGCACACAAGAGGCTGGGCATGGTGACTTGTGCCTGTAATCCCAGCACTCAGAAGGCTGAGGCAGGAGGATTCAGTTTGAAGTCAGCCTGGGCTACAAAGTAAGACCCTGTCAAAAGGAGAGGGAGAGAGAGACAGAGACAGAGGGAGACAGAGAGGCTAAGATACTCACATACTCATCAGTGAAAAGAGGAACTCATGAACAAACTTGGTTGGGGGAGGTGTTTCTGAATATTCCAAGTTGCAGTACACTTGGATGCCCATAGATATGTGTTTTCCTGGGACAAGGTCTGTACTGCTGTAAAACTACAAATCTATGACCATGAAAAGTGGTTTAAACCACAAAGAGATAGTTGAAATTTTGCATTAGTTGTCAACAGCTAAAAACTAGGAAATTTCACCAGGTGTGTAGTCCCAGCACTTGGGAGGCAGAGGCAGGCAGATCTCTGTAAGTTCAAGGCCAGCCTGGTCTACATAGTGAGTTCCAGGACAGCTGGGGCTACAGGGAGACCCTGTCTCAAAAAGATAAAAAAAATATTAGTTTTGTTTTGTTTTGGGTTTTTTTTTTTTTTTTGAGACAATGTCTTATGTAGCCCAGGCTGGCCTCAAACTCACCTTGTAGCCAAGGATGACCTTGAACTCCTGATCTTCCTGCCTCTACCTCTCAAATGCTGGGATTATGTGATGCTGGGGATTGAACTCAGGACTTCATGCATGCTAAGCAAGGACTCTCCCAAATGAGCTACAAACCCAACCCTCCTGCTTCTTTTGAAAATTCAGAAAACCTGGTGAGTCCAGGTTGTTTCTGTACATGAGCACAGTTGTACAGCTAAAAAGAAATTGACTCCACACACACACTGTCCAGTCCACCAATGTCCCAACCACACCAGGTGAATGACAATCCCTGGGCTTCAGCTTTCCTCTGCTTCCTAAGGTGTACCTGTGATTCTGGGCACAGCAAAGGACTGCTGACCAGGAGGCCTGTGAGGGTGGCAGTCAGCTCCCCAGGACCCTGAGGCCTGAGGGTTCAGCTACTCTAGTTGAAATAGAGATGACAGCATGGAGAAGCCCTGCTCCAGAGGCTTCATTTCCCACCCTTCCCTGATGTTCACTGCCCAGTGGGGTGGGGGGACATCAAACCGAGAGAAGCCAACAGCAAGGTGGATGCCCAGGGCCTCTGATTCCCATAGCACTGAGCCCCTGGAGAGTCCCGGCTCCAGTCCTGGCACCTTGCTGGGCTCCAAGAAACCCGGTTTGTTCAGGCGCGTGCTTTCTGCTGTGTCTGCAGTTCCCCTTTCCAGGGTCTACCTGCTCTGGAGGATAGATAGCATCTTTCATCTCCGTACCTCGCCTTTGACAGATGGAGAAACTGAGTCACATCTAGGATCACACACCAACCCGTCTTCCCTTCCTCCACCTTCCTTTGTCCTCAGGACAATATTTAAAGTAGATTTTTGTTATTGTTATTATTTATTTTTAAATTTTTAATTACATTTATTTATCTTAGGGGGTATACATGCCATGGTGCACGTATAGAGGTCAGAGGACAGCTTGCAGGAGTTGGTTCTCTCCTTCCACCATGTAGGAATCTGGGATCAAACTCAGGTTATCAGGCTTGGCAGCAAGTGCCTTTATCCACTCAGCCATCTTGCTGACCCCTGTTCTCATTTATAAACAAGAGCATGAGGCATCAGCTTTCCCAAATCCCATGTAGTCAGACACACTTGTCCCAAGGCTGTAATCCAAGCCACCAAGTTACCCTTTTCTTCCTCCTACAGAGCCTATGGGCAACAACACCCAAAACACTTGTTTGGCCAGGAAGCCAAAGGATGCACTGAGGAAGGAAACATATACCAACCGGAAGCAGTACAGGAAAGGGTGGCCATCCCAAGAAACCAGGGACAGGGATAGAAAGCAGGGCTTCTGTGAACAGTGATAAGCAACTTACAAGCCACGACCCCTTACCTCTTAGGCAGACACAGCAAAGCTAATACATTCAGGCCACCAACCCGGTCCAGCCGAGAACCTGGAGGGAAAGAGAGGATGGAATGAGTGTCCCAGGGCAGTGGTTTGAGCCTCTTGAGGGGTGAAGTTCCCCTGGACCAGAGGGGCCCTCCTCATTGATTCCCAGGGCCCTCCCCTGGGAATCAGGTCCTGCCAACCATTTCTTGTTCTCCATAGTAATTTCTGGTCTCCGAGCCTCAAAGTTCCCATCCCATAATGGGCACACTGGTACCTACCCTTGTTGAGTACCTGTTTTCCCATCAAGGAGGAAGCTTTTTATTGTTTTATTTCATTTTGAAGTTTTATTTATTGTGTGTTTGTGCACACACATGCACAGGTGTGTGCCACGGTACAAATGTGGAAGTCAGAAGACAATTTTTTTTTGTTTTGATTTTTGAGACAGTGTCTCCCTATGTAGCCCTGGCTGGCCTAGAATGCACTATGTAAGCCAGGCTGGCTTCAAACTCACACAGATCTGCCTGCCTCTGCCTCCTGAGAAGGCATGCCCCAGCAGAAGACGATTTTTGGAAGCTGTTTTTCTCCTTCCACCACATGGGTCCCAGGCTTGGCAGCAACTGTCTTTACCCACTGAGCCATCTCACTGGCCCGTGATTTGATTCTTTTTTCTTTTTCCTTTCTTTTTTTGTCCTGACAAGATCTCACTATGTAACTTATGTAACAACTCTAGCTAGCCTAGAACTCACTGTGTAGACAAGGCTGGCCTCAAACTCACAGAAATTCACCTGCCCATACCTCCTGAGCGCTAGGATTATAGGCATGCACCACCATGGCCAGCCCTTGTTTTGATTTTTTGAGACATGGTCTTGCTATGTAGCTGTTCAGTCTAGGCTAGCCTTGAACTCATGATTTTCCTGTCCCAGCCTCCCGAGTGCTAGGATTACAGTATACCACCACATCCTGCTTCAGGAAGCCCCTTTAAGGGCAAGGACTGCATCTCACAACATTAGCATTTGGCAGAGGACTCACCAAGTCTGAGACACATTGTAAGAACATAATGGATGACTGAGTAAACAGAGGGATGGACAAATGAATTAATTAGTAAATGGAGGGATGGATAATAAATTAATTAGTAAGGTATATCTCTAAGGACTGCTGGCAGGATCCAGTGAGAGATAAATTTGAAAGGGTTGCACATTACTAGCTGCCTATGAGTGGTGGAGAGATGAAAATATAAGTTATAAAGTTGTAGTGATGCCAGGCATCGTGGCTCACGCCTTTAATCCCAGCACTTGGGAGGCAGAGGCAGGTGGGTCTCTGAGTTTGAGGCCAGCCTGGTCTACATAGTGAATTCCAGGTCAGTCAGGGCTATATGGTGAGACCCTGTCTCCAAACACCAAATAATAAAATAAATAAAAATAAAGTTGTAAGCCAGGTGTGGTGGCGCACGCCTTTAATCCCAGCACTCAGGAGGCAGAGGCAGGCAGATCTGTGAGTTCAAGGCCAGCCTGGTCTACATAGCGAGTTCCAGGACAACTGGGGCTACAGGGAGACCCTGTTTCAAAAAGACCAAAAATAATAAATAAATAAATAAATAAATAAATAAATAAATAAATAATAAAGTTGTAATGATGATATTTCTGGCTTAGACATTTTGTGCTCGTTTACTCATTTAGATAACAAATACTGCAGCTTCCTTCCTTCTTCCTTCTTTCTTTCTTTTCTTCCTTTTTTAGAGACAGAATCTTCTATGTAGCCCAGGCTGGCCTGGAACTTACTCCATAGCCCACAATGACCTCAAACACACAATCCTCCTGTCTCAGCCCCCTAGTACTGATATTACAGGTGTGTGCCACCACACGCAGCCTAATATTGGTTTTTGTTTTTGTTTTTGTTTTTTTTCCTAAACTGGTTCTGAACCAAGTGTTGGAGCCAAGACACAGATTAAGTAAAGTGTCTGTCCTGCCTCCTGGGGTGTTCACAGGCAAGTTAGGGAGAAAGTAAAGAGCTGCCACCAACGTGCTGTAGGCAGAAGGTGCTGGGGGAGTCCTAAGAGAGGCCAGGGAAGACCTGGGGAGGAAGCAGTGGCCAAGCCAAATCTAGAAAGTGAATACACTCTAGTGAGACAGAGAGCCAAGGGAATGAAAGTAAAGTGAAGTCTTTGCCTCCTGACAGACTGGGGACCAGTGAGTCTTCAGAGATCGCAGGTGTGCATTGCCCCCTGTGGGGTTTTCAGTACCAGGTTCAGGCCACTGGGGCTTGGCTGAAGAAGGGCCAGGGCACAACGCTGCTGTGTGCCTCTGGGAAGACCCCTCTGCACACTGTGTAGGGATGGAACAGACAGGAGGTAGGAAGATTGTCTCTGAAAAGCACTAGCTTCTGCGGCTTTTCACACACAGTTTTACTTACAAGATGGAAGAGGGAAGGAGGTTGGTTTCATCTCTACTTCGCAGCTCAGACAAGAGGGATCATGACTTGAAGCTAGCCTAGGGTCCTATTCAGCCCGTTGAGAGGCAGACCTGGCTAGAGAGCTCAGGTTTCCCTGCCTGTGACAGAAACCTTGTTTCTTGCCTCCTAGACAAGGCTTCTTGGATAAGCTTCCTGAGCCCAACAGAGACTGCCCTGGCCTCTTCCTGCTGAGGACATTCAGAGAAGCCAGGGGACAAGGGGAAACCTTCCTGAGGTGACAGGATTCCAGGAGATATTCCTATCAGGCAGATAAGTGGACAGTCAGCTGTGGCCCAGAGCGGGGAGAGGCTTGACCAGGCATAGTAGGGCACACTCTCAGCACATGGGAGACTAAGGCAGGAGGATCATGAGTTCAAGACCAGCTTGGGCTATATAGCAAGACTTTGTCTCAAGATCAAGAAAAGGGGCTGGAGAGATGGTTCATCAGTAAAGTGCTCATCACACAAGCATGCCCAACACCAACGTAAAAAAAGCTGGATATAGTGACATGTGCATGTAATCCCACTTCCTGGGAGACAGAGAGACAGCAGGATCCCTGGGGCTCGCTGGTTAGCCAGCCCACTCTAACTGGCAAGCTCCAGATCCCAGCAAGAGACTATCTCAAAAAACAAGGCGGACAGCTCCTGAGGAGAGACACCTAAGGTTGACCCTTGGCTCCCACACACACATTCACCCATCCCCACACATGCACACACACACACACACACACACACACACACACACACACACACACATACACACACACACACCATGCACCTGCCTACACATGAACACATCTGGAAAGGCTGGGTAGGGTGGCTCATGCTTGTAATCCCAGCACTCAGGGGTCTAAGGCAAGAGGATTGGCCACAAGTTTGAGGCCAGCCTGGGATATGAAGAAGCTCCAGGGCTAGCCTAAGCTACAGACTGAAACTGTCTCCACAACAAAACCAAGCAAAATGACAGAGAGGGAGAGTCCTGTGGGTAAGATCACAAAGCCAGTAAGCCCAGCCCCATACCCAGCATGTGTGTGTATGAGCTCCTTCCTGGGAGAGCTCCCAAGAGGGGAAGGGAGAGGAGGTGGGGCAAAAGAAAGGAAGCAGGGCTGGCCATGGACTTTTGTAGACTACTTTTCTATGTCATGGTGGACTTGCTGATACAGATGGGAAGACTGAGGCTCAGGATCAGACAAAGATTTGGAAAATTAGGGGAGGCATAGAGTTCAGAGGAGAAAAGAAAAAAGACAGAGATGGAGAGAAGAGAGGGAGTGAGGAAAGGAGATGGAAAGACCCAAGAGGTGTGACCATGCAGAGGGGAGAAGAAAAGCCCAAGAAAGAAAGAAAAGAGGGGTAAAGGAGTTGGGTCCCTAAAGCCCCCATTCCCTCCTTTCTCCCTGGGTGTTTGGCTGGGTCTCTACCCCCGGGGCAGAGGTGAGATAAGGACCCTGGTCCCTTGAGGGAGGGAGGGGTGGGGTGGCTCCCCCTCGGGGGGCCGCGCCCCCCCGCCCCCCCCC